AATTTGGACACGAGAAGTTTGCCAGCCCAGAGCCAAATCCAAAGTGTGTCCCCTCTCCCTAAATTCCACTGAGAAATCACAATTGTCGGCAAGCACACCTGGGAAGTAGCGGCGACCAGGAGATGTTGTACGAGGAAGCGGAAACTGAAGGCGAATGGTTTTGGGTAAGTTACCTACACTGCCCGCATGTAGTTTATTCGTAGAGGAATAACAAGTGAAATGGTTAAGTAAATATGTACATATGTGGGTGGTGCTTTAACCTGGCTTGGCCAAATTGTTGTGGTTGATTTTTGATGACTGAGACGAATTGAGTTGATGGGGGAGCAACGTCGATTAAATGCTAAGCTGTTCCATGACATCTTTTGGAGTACCTAGTTCATGAAGCCGATTAGCTATATAGTCAGGTGAGTGCAAAGGGGGTAAATTCTACGCCTTACAATTTGTTTTCAAGTATTTTCCTTGAGTATTTTCAAGTATTGGTTTACATGATGTATGTGCAGTATTTGGTTCATGTTTGAGACTACATGATTATGTTTGATGATATGTGCTTTGGTTGAGCTAAGATTTGAAGTGAATGTGTATGAGTTTATTTCTTACTTGAAGATTTACATTTATGAGTTATGGTTAAAGTTTAAGAACAAATCCTTTTTAAGAAGTACTTCACCTTTGAAGAAGGTGGAACTGTTTTAAGAGTTTTTAGTCACTAGCGCTAGTCCGTTGCCATTTGAGATTTCGAGATAGATCAACAGTTATGCTCTTGAGATCTTTGAGAAAGAGCAGCAGTTATGCTCTCGAGATATTAAAGTTGAGCAGCATTTATGCTATTGAGATTTTTAACATGAACAACAGTTATGCTCTTGAGAATCGTGGAAGAAGAGCCTTCCACGATATGTTTAAGTTTAAGGAAAGCCTAGAGGACTTCTCATGTGTATGAGTTGGACAATCGGACTAGCTAGTGAGGGATCCCCGTGTCAGTAAAGTATTTAAGTCGAGATTTGAGCTTTAAGAATGGAGAGTTTGTTTGAGAGTTTTATCCAGCTGAACACCCAATCCTTCTGATTCTCCAACAAAGCTCTTATGCAATTTGACAGTCTGGGTCCATTTTCTCACATTCCCCTTTGTTCTGAACTAACAAAAAAAACATAGTAGATCTTTAGAATATATCAACCAAACACATGGTAAAAAATGCACAAAATAGTCAAGGCCATAAGTTCTCTAGTCATTCTGCAGATCAACCTAAACTCTTTGTTTCTACATATGCATCTCTCCATCGAGGCAACTACATTGAAATGGATCAAATCCATCAAAAAGTTTCGGAAGATTTGAAAGGATAGCCAAACAAAACTCAACCATTCATGAATAAACTATTGAGATTCTCTATAATATTATTGGGGAGCTTCCCATCAGAACATTAGGATAATCATGGGAACCATAGAATGAAGTTTCCTGATATGGGAATCCGAGGTAAGAAACAATAAATCCCATTCGAGGAAGCAAGAGCTCATGTGTGACATGTCAAGTAAATAACCACGACTGAGGAAGACTTACCCTCATGTTGAAGAAATTCCCTTCCTCGCCATCAAGTGGTGGACATGCTGCAACTCCCGCAAGAACCTGCTTAGAAACAATAGCATTCTATAAGTGGAGGGGTAGGAATTGGAAGTGTCATTAATGTTATTGATCACGCTTTTCATACCCTGTTGTAGCTTGTAATTTGACAAAGGGTCGATCTTTTGTTGCTTGTCATTGTTCGAAGGATGAGTCACGAACGCAATATGTTGAAACATAAAAATAAAAAAGAATTTAAGAACTGAAAAAATACAGAAACACAACAATTAAATGGAGATTGAGGTACAAACTCTAGATACCTGGAAGCGTCCATGGAGAAATTGGGGAATAGAAGCAGAGAAAGCGTCCATGGAGATTGTGTGAACCTCACTCGAATGGACACATGTACCGAAACTCCTCATGACAAATCGACAAACAGAGAAAGAGTCAGTATAGCACCTCGTGAACCCAAAACAGGATATAGAAATCAAATTCTTTTTAAAAACTTGACGATAGGGAGGCTAAAGAAAAAAGGGAGTAGGAGTTTTCTATTTTGATTGCAAGAGACTCACCCTCGAAGAAATTCGATTAGCAGGTCACTACTTCTTGCCCATCCAATTGCAGTTGCTGGTCACACAGAGATAGAGGAAGAAAAAGGGGTAAATAAACCAGACATCGAGCGACTGGAACAATTAGCACTAACGATACCAAAATCCAACCATAAAATACCTAGAACTGAGAGATGGATTCTCGATACAAACCCAGAAACATCCCACATCTTCTCTGATTATGCATAAGAGATCGATTCCATGGAGTTCTCACTTGTTGCGGATCAAAGAACAGACGAAACGGGAGCAGAGTTTAGCGGCGACCAACGCACAGGAACACGTGGAACGCTATCTGCCTCCAGAACCACCAGCAACCTCCTCGATAGTAGAGTAAAGGGAACCTAAAGCGTTATTTTCCCGATGAGAAAAGGGATCATGATCATCGGCTGGTTCTTGGCGATCCCCATCTCGTCAATGCCCTGCAAGACCCCGACTTCGTCAGCCAAACTCAAAGGGGAGAATGCTCAGACCAAAAAACCAACGAGATAGTACCTTGATTGCGAAGACTGAGTTGAGAGAAAAGAGAGAGATTAACGGCGGCGTATCGAGGCGGCGGCGGGGGATTCAGTTCGCTATTCTGGATGTGTTGGTGACAGCGTTGCGGAGGTCGCTCGTCACGTGCAGCGTGGCGGAGAGAGACGATGGCGCATCTTTCTCCTCCATGGATATTAGCTAGCCTATGAAGGTCAGGAACGTGTCGTACGTGACCTTCGACCGCTTCAATGGATTCCTTCGGCTTGCCCCGCGAGCTCGAGCCCGAGCTTCCCCGGAAAGTCCCCAGTGCCAGGTCAGCTTTCGATTAAGCTGGTGCATGTTCGATTAGTCACCGGTGAGTTGAGAGAGAAGAGAGGGAGAGAAAGAAATCTCTGGATTTGTAAATCTGGAAGTAAGATAAAGGAGAGAGATGGAGATTTGGGTAGAAGGTCTAAAGGGAGATTTGGGAAGAAGGGTAAAGTCGCTGGAATTGGGAACTATGTTGGGGTTAGGTGTATTGTGTGGTGGAATTGGAGGGTAGGCAAACAGAAGAGAGGGAAAGGGGAAGCAAGAGGGAGAGGGAAAAAACCAGGGAGAGAGAAGCAAAAATCAGCAGCCACTTGAGGCCGACGCAATTTTCCAAGAAAAAACAGGCAGGGAAGCAGAGCGAAGTGGACATGAGGCCTGTGAAACGGTGGCACGGGCTGATGGAACGAAGCAGCAACCAACGTCATCAATTATGGGCCCAAGACAGAGAACCGGCCAATCAGCGTTTAATGAATAGTAGAATGTGCCTAGGTGAACAATCCGATGAGTCTGGGGCTACAGTGATTGTCCGTTTGTGCGATTAACTCTTTTAAATTTTGGGCGAACGAACAAATTTTTTTCTCATTAAATATCTTGTTTTTATTAATGTTGTGTCATTTAAACCAATATGAAATATCAATCGAGGTCACTTGGCTAAAATATTGAGTTGGTTAATGTAACAACTAGAAATTTGAGAGGGAAACTAATGGAAATTATAATGTATTTCCGCCAAAACTAAAACTGGATTTTTTACTTGCACGGAGGATTCTAGGATGTGTACTAGAAAAAACGTATATAATCATATTATTAGAAAATAACGTAAATTTTATACCCGTGAGATCCTCATGACTTCAGTCGATATCAGATAATCAGACTTCAAGTCGTAGAAACAAAAAATTTTATACCTTATACTTACTTTTGAGAGTAGAAGCGAGGATGAAGGTTGTGGGAGGAAGAAGAGAAAAAACAACCTATAACAACGAGGTTTAGGCTCTCTTTCTGTGTGTTCTCAGATGGAAAAAATTGAATTACTAAAATAGAAGAAAACGATTTCTTTTACAATGTTCTAACGATGACAATAATCAGACTTCAAGTCATAACAACAACATAACTTATGTGTTAAGGATTAGTGGATCATCGCATAATTGGAATACGAATTTCATGATTTAAAGTTTACATTTTGCCTTCATCATTTAAAATTTACACTAAAAGATTTAGAGTTTAGGTGTGGAAATTATTTTAATTGTTCACAATTTAGAGTTTATGGTTTAGAATTTGGGATTTAGGGTTTTTGTCATGGTTTAGGGTTTTTTTCATATCATACCTATCAACCAACATATATTGTGACATACGTACTATACATTTAATCTCCCCATATAACTGCCCTCAATTCATATTTTGGCTCATTAAATATGTGATTAACTATTATGACATCATCTAATTTATATTACATTTTATGTTTCCTCCACAAGTTCCCGCCAAACCAATATTGACGTACTCTACTGTGACAACATCTAAATTGTCATATTACATGTATGTTTATAAATTTATACGACCGTACATTTTGACATAATATATATTTTTTTTGTATATTTTGACAAATCCACCATTTTTCACATCAAATATTTCATCTTTCACTCGACAATTTCTCGCCAATCCATAATCAGTCGCATTCTTTGTGACTAAGTACGCGTAGTCATATTAGATGTTAGATGTAGATTTCTAATATTTTTTGGTGATAACGGGTGCAACGCTCCACTACCTCTTATTCATAAATCAACGGGTGCTAAAATCGCCAACTGAGTCAAAAAGAGCCTAACGACAAACATCCGGATCAGAAATAGCGATAAAATGGAAACTAGGAGACAACAAGTGACCCTTATGAGCTATACAGTCGGCCAAAAAGTTGGCTTTTCTATAAATATGGGTAAGTCTGACATCCTAATCCCGGCGACACAAAGCCTGAAAAGCTAGAGTGAGGCTGGCGTGTTGGTGGCTTTGTTGGTCGGTGTCCTGGAGCAACGCAATCGCCATCGCCATCTTGGAATCGAGCTGCAATTCCACTCAGCGATATCCTGCATCCCATGCTATCTCAAGGCGCTTGAGTTCCCCCCAAATTTCTACTCGAGTGATGGTACATCTTCCCAGATTCATCGCATAGGCCCCTAACAAGCGGCCTTGCCCGTCTCCAAGCGCTCCTCCTACAACGGTTGACCCTGACGATCGCAAGAGCGACCCGTCGGAGTTCACTGTGATCCAACCTGTCGGGGCCGGTCTCCACCCCACGACCATGTCTCGACGCGACCCCGACCTCCCAGTGACAAAGTATGTTCCCCTTTATTTACTCTGCTGAGCGAAGACCTCCCAAGCTAGGATCCTTTGCGATAACTTGTTAGGGGCTTCTGCGATGTCTGAAAAAATGAAGCCATTCTGAGCACACCACAGGACCCAACAAGTAAATCCAAATCGAACCTGACATTGGAGGCAGTTTCTCGTGTGTTGTAAGCCACAAAAAGTGTCTAACCCAACTTGGACCAGGCCACCTCCAGAGGGTCTTCCACGTGCTGTCAGCCTTGGCGTCATCCAAATCAGCGACTATGTTGTATGCAGACTTCAAGGAGAAGTTTCCCATTGGTTCAAGGCCCCACACCAGCTCATCCTCAACAAGCTCATCCTTAGGAACGAGCATACACATCACCTGTAAAACCAAGTCCTGGGGTAAGTGGGTAGTTAATGGGTACCCGTTACCGGTACGGATTTGGGATATGAGATGAACTTTTCTCTCCAAACGAGATTGGGTACCCGTTTCAAACGGGACGGGTACCCAATCTCGTCAAGTTTCCCACCTCTAGTTATTTGTTGGATTCAAATACACATTTTTTAATATTTGCATTAAATATGAGAATTTTATATTTTATTTGGAATGTTGTATTTTATTTAAATATGCATGTATGTTTTAGAAAAATTGTTTTCAAATATATTACATGTATGTCTAAATTGTAAATTCTAATTGTGACGATTTCTCAATTTCCTACAAGTTTTGCTGAAATCGGTATTAACTAATTGTACCATTGGTCGGGCTATACCACTTGCAAAATTGATGTAATAGTATAAATCGGGTTGACAACCTTGGCGGGGAGGAATTTTTATGTGTTTTTATCTTTTGTTAAGTGTTGAAGTGTAGAGAGATTTTTGCTCGCTTTAACAAGAGATCAGAGAAAGGGATAAGCAAGGTTGTAAACCGATTTAGCCAGTTGACCCGGTCAGGCAAGTGAGTTAAGGATTAATGGTCCTACTGTTTTAGCCCGAATATAAGAAAAATCAATATATTGTTCATACATTTATAAATTATATAAAATCTCATCTAACATATGAGTAATAACATATAAGATTACACCAAAATAACATGTTGTATTTCGATCCAACTTATAGTAAAAATTCACACTCACTTATATAACATCAATATTCTTTTTTGCTTTTGATGAAATATAACATCAATATTCAAATGTTCAACTAAAAATTCCAAACATTGGGTTAGGCGAAAAGAAAAAACAGAAAATATAGGTATTTCGCAAACCAAAGAAAAAAAATGATACAATTACCTCTAATATGGTACCTTAAAGCGGTCGACCCGACAAATATGTTCAACCCATTTTTTTCATCGGGTTAGGATCAAATCGGGTCAACCGACGGAGCGAACCCCGGATTAACACAACCTTGGGAATAAGCGAAGATAGGAAACAGCGTCCCTTCAGATCCGTGGTTTTCGCCCTTGGAAAAGGTCTTCTTCACTTCTCCCACTCCGATGGCGATTTGAGCGTCTTCGCTTTCTCTTCTCTCTCCCTCTCCTACCCACCGTGTTCCCTGAACCACCTTCACCTTAGCGGATACCTAGTCCCTCTTCACTCTGTTCTCCGCCCTTGGCCTCTATATTTCACAGTCTCTTTCTCCCTCTCTCTCTCTCTGTTATCTTCACACTCTACGGTAAGGGTTCTTCTCTTTCTACTACTCCCTATTTTGGGATCTATTGTGCCTCTGCTGCCTTTCTAATGGCATGTATACTGCGTTTTCTGCAGTTCAATCGCCTGATTTGTCCCGATCTGGCCATCCAACGAAGGAGATCTGATAAGGTTTTGTCCTTCTTTTGGATCTGTGCAAGGCCGTTTCTAGTTTTTTTATTTTATCTTCTGATAAGACCATATACGAATCCGTCCGAGTTTGGTTGTTACCTGGTTGATTAATTGTGATCTGGCTTGGAGGAGATCTAGAACTCGTTACTGCTCTTGAGGCTTTTTTAGATGTGTGTTCAGTCGGAAAACTCTGAAATTTCTTATACTGGTTGCGAGTTCGGTGTGGATTTCGTGTTTGAATCGAGGAGAAGTTTGGTGGTTTTGTTCAGCTATGGAGACGCTTCTTGTTGCTGCTCATCACAGAAATCAGTGTTATGGCAGGGTCAAGCCCCACCGTTCTGGCCGCTTTGGGTCTTCCCCATCTAGTAGGAACTTTAGAGGGATAAATTGCCGGACTTTTGAATCTGGACCTGGCATACTCCCCAACCCCTTTAGCTCTTCCTGTAAAACCAACCCATCCATCCCTTGTTCCTCCATTTCCCCCTGTTCTTCTCCTAAAACGCCTTTAAGTTCCATCAATGCCCAGTGGAATGCGCATTCTGGGGACAAATCCCGCCACAAGACTGCCCCTGTGAGCTCCCCTATTCCTATCAGTGTGAAAGGGCCCAGAAAATTTCCCACTTTTAATGATGGCATTTTTAACTCAGACGAGGATTCTGCTTTCTCTGAGCTATGGGCTGGTCCTGCTTATTCGAATTCGCCACCACCCAGTTCACTCCCCATCCCTAAGTTCTCAATGAAGCCTAAACGAACCGTGTCACTGGACTTGCCACTTCCCGATTCAAAATTTGAGCTGCCTCCAGTTGCCAAGTCTGCTCCTGTTTCTCCTTCAAGGAAGCATGACTCGGCCACCAGAGACATGTTCTGCACTACTGACTCAGCGACCAAGACTCTTCGTCGCATTCTTAACCTTGATCTGGGTGATGATTGAGTTGGTAGGGTGAGCAGCTTTTGTTCCTGTATATATGTGTTCCAGTTTTAGGTTGCATATGGTCTATAAACGACTAAATGGTGTGAGTAGCATACAAGTTCGCTTAGTTTATGCTAGTAATGGTACAAGGCAAAAATATCTTTCATGAGCAGACAAATCTCTAGCGTTGAGAAACAAGATGCTTGGGCGAGCGATGCACCAGTTGTAGTGACATACCATGGGTGACATGGTGTCTGATGAAGTAGAGATGGCTAACAAGGTGGCGGGTGATTTTATTTGGTATCGTGGACGAAGAGATAACTGGAAATAGTCTTGGTAGCTTGACGAAGCAGAATGAATTGGTTTCTGGTGCTATTTGTGGGGTATTCTTTCTGGAGTGAATGAATAGCCTCAACTCTTGATCGGCGATATGATGAATCTGCTGCTGTGTACCACTTGTGAGCATACATCACTGCATCTCTATCGAGATCAACTTTGTGGTGTCACATTCTCAGGAAAATGTGATCATGGCCCTGGTCATTCTCTCTAGTTCAGCTGAGATGTATATATACTTTTAAACCTCAGCTTAGTCCTTTAGTCTCAACTCTCATGGTTTGTTGTTCAGTGTCCTTTCCTGTCCATATTTTAAACTCTTCATTTGAACTTCAGTTAGGCTTTTCTCGTCTTGTATGTTGCATCAAATTGGCTCTCTGGGGGGGTATCCTCTTATCACTTTTCTTTTGGTTGACAGTTACTGAATTGACTGTACGACTCTCTTTTGTCTTCAATATCCTCACCATCATTTCCTTCTTCCCCCTTAGGTATCTCTGACCCTTTTACACACTCTGTTTGGGTGTGTACCCCTTTAGCCATTTTTCCTTGTTTTTTTTATGGAAGAACTGGAAAGGGGAAGTAGTAGTAGTTATAGGTGAATTCTGCTTCTGGAGTTAGCTAGTTTAATCCAACCCCTGTTTCCTTTTCCCCCATGAGAGCCTGTTTGTTTCTTGTGTCCGTTGGATGATCCATGGGTTCAGTTTGTTTCTATGGAGGAGGTGTTTGACCGTTCGCTGCTGTCTAAGAGGTAACTGTTTCTTATGTGTACCTCCTATTCAGCTAAGATTATAACTTCTATATGTCATTTCTAAGTTCTCTTTGGAATTTGCAGGATGACTTTGGGATGCTTCCCCAAAGATTCGGTTGCTATATGAAGCAAGTCTTATCAGGGTGCACGAAGTTTGTGTCTTGTTTCCGGAGTTGAGGTATTGAGGTGTAATGTTGCTTACTTTGCTAGTGTCGCCTCATGTGTAGTAGCAGTTATGTAATTACCACCCGAGCTTCTGTTGCAGTTGTTTAACTTGTGTTTTAGCAAGCAAATGTACTTTTGAGGTTTGTCACCCGATGTCCTTGTTATTAGTGTACTAATAGTAATAGCCACGTTCAAGGCTGTTTGTCTTGGTGGCGTACTCAACTCCAAGTTAAAATGTTATGAACAGGAAATGAAGTCTGTTTGATGTTTGTATTCGTACAGTAACTTCATCTTATACCTGCAACCAAGTATAGGCTGTGGTTTTGGGTTCTAAAAAGTCTGAACTACAGAAATTTATTAATCGTAGTTCCAATTTCCATGGGCTATTATTATATTACCTGTTTGGTTCTTTCTTGCCTGTGCTATTCTTAATTCTTTTGACCTTTCTTCTTGCATGATATGGGGTGCTTAACAGGTTTCATTTAACCGAACTGGGCAATGTAATTACTGGTTTTTTCGACCAGTTACGGTTACGATGGTGAATTGCTTACCCAAACCATTAAACTGTATTTAATTCCTTCCTATCAAAACCGAACACTTGACTGTTCTGGTTAACCGTTCCGTTATCTAATAACTGGTTTGGTTTGGGTTTTGGTTATAGGGAAAAGTGGTTTGGTTGTATTGGATGACGAGTGAGTATTAGAATTTAGAGGTAGCATTGTATTGGTAATCAGGTTGGATCAAGTTGCTTCTGGTTAGTATTGGATGACCATTAAAAGTTCGACCCTAAACCTAGAGCTAATACGGTGGGATGTCTTGGTCTGGAGCTCATTAAACGACATGACGTGGGTATTTCAACTAGGGTCTGGGCAACTGGCACATATGGATTCAAGCGAGAGCTATAGATAAGTGAGGATAGTATTGGGACAAAAAATAGGTAAATTAGAAATGAGAATGACTAGGCCTGTCGGTTCGGGTCGGGTAACCGAACCTGAAACCCTCGAAAAACCGAAAACCCAAAAACTGAGTCACACAACCCGAAGCCGAACCCGAAACTATACTGTGTGGGTTTTGGGTACAGGAACCTGAAAATATGTTTGCGGTTTTGGTTTGGTTCGGGTGAACCCCAAACAGAACTGTTTTGAGTTTTTTTTTTACTTTTGTGATTTGAATTTTACATTCTTTTGCTTGTACAAACAATTTTATTCTTATTATTTGTACATTTTTATTTAACCATTATGTTTAATTTTATGGGACGTGGACAGTATAAAACTATTATTTTTATATATTAGTTTATTATTAAAATATTAGTTTATTATTAAAATATTAGTTAATTATTAAAATATTTAATTTTATGTATTCTATAACTATAGACATACTATTAACTATTAAAGAGTATTACTAGTTTAGAGACAAAGTAAAATACTTAAACATATTTTATACGTAACTTAATCATATCTTATTTTGCTATGTTAAGTAATACAACCTTTTGGACCATTTAATTGTGGATTTTCATATAATTAAATGTTTTAGTAATACCATAAGCCCAAAATTGAAGGTATATCAACTATCATATGCAAAAAAATGTTTGGTGTTTGGCGCAAAATTATAAATAATTTTGTTCAACATAAAATACCGACAATCATAGATGAGATTATCTTCAACTCGTAATTAAACACATTAGTTTTACAATTCTCAAATGATAACATCCAAGTAAAATCAAAATTCATCCACCATACAAGATAAACACTACAACCATCATCACTCCTCATCAGGCTCTACATCTACATAAGTCTCATCATTCTCATTAGAATTGTCGTCGACATAGTCTTCTTCCACTTGTGACATAGTAGGACTCGAGACCAAAACATGGGTAGCAGGAGAGCTTCCACTAGGTCTGCCGGTACTTCTAGAGCGCCCTCTGCGTTTAGGACGAGAAGCCGATTGCGCCTCACTCTCTCTGCCAAAATGAAAAAGCAAAATTAGCAACTGTCAACTAAGGGGTCTTCAAATTGGTGCTACACACTAGTGAAACAACAAACCGCACTTAGTTAGACAAAAACACTTAGGCTAGGCAGCAAAGCAAAAGCAAAACACTTAATCTCAAACTCTCTACGGCAACAAAACATCATATATTGAATCAGCCTCCTACTTCACAATTCAGCATAAGACATACAAATTCAATAACACAAAACTAGTTCATTACAAACACACCGAAAACAAACTTTACAGGATCCCCGTCACTCTCTTCTAAACAACTAGTTGACTAACAACTGAGGAGTCTTCATTCATTGTCATTATCAGAACCGGGAACCCAAAAACTATAGGAAGAACGCAGAGAGAGACCCCTTTCTCACTCTATCTCTCTCTCTGTTGCTCTATTATTCATGAAAACAAAAGGACCTATTCCAAGCATACATGGAGAACACAAGTTGACCCATCACTCACATTCAAACCAACATCATCATCATGACTCCACAGCAAGGTTTACAACAGCTAAACTATTCTATTTATCCCACTACTAATCTCATCCTGTTGGCTGCTACCCACATATTCATTTTCCAAATTAAGTCTTGATTTAATCACCCAGCCTTCCAGATCAATCAAAGACTTTGTTCAATCCTCTCCCTCACAGCAGCTAGCCTATCCAAATTGCAACATGGTTCTGATGATTTAGCCTGAAAGAAAAGAATGCTTACTGGGACGCCATATTCATGATTGAAGTCTGAAGATACGACTGCGGGGAGTAGTTTGGGAAGATGAGAATCGAGCCTAGATAGGTGGCTGCCTTGCTGGGCAAATTGACCAACTTGAAGACTCAAACCAGATTTGGAACTAAATCATCAGAATTCAGAACAACACCAAAACGCTGATTTCGAATCTAGGTTGCTGCATTGCTGGGAGGCAGAGGAAAGGCAAAGTCGGAGATCCCCTCGAGGCTGATGGCGCCGACGAGGACGTTGATGGCGGCAAGGGCCGAGGAGTTTAACTGGTAGAAGCTGAGAAGGGAGGCTCTGTTTTGGTGTTTCTCGATCTCCAAAGCGGCAAATCCTCGAGCAAGGAGGCTGATGGGCGATGGCGGCGAGGGCGTTGAGGGTTTCCTGATCCGAGAAGCGACGTAGCCTCGACCTCGACCTCGAGCAGTCGTCAGTCGAGCAAGGATTCCTAAACCTCTCCACTCCAGTCCCCTCTGTCGATTGTCGCAACTCGCAAGGAGATCGAACCCTAGAGGTCCATTGTCCCAAACGTCACCGTAAAAGTCACAAGTCCCCACCCTCCATTCTCCAACAGCAACTTTCGGGATTTTCGGGTTTGTATCGGTTTTCGGGTTACATAAACCAAAACCGTTTTGTATCTCATTTCGGGCTGAAACCGAAAACCCGAAAACAATATTACCGGTTCGGGTTCGGTTTAACCCGAAACCGAAATCCCACCCTTAATCTGAATGACCTTACCTACTCCTTTTAATTAATCCAAGTGATCTCTATTCTTATTCAGTTATTCTTAATCCCTTTTCCATAGTGATAAGACGACTTGGTAGTTCAGACTAAGACATCAAATTACTTATTTAACATATAATTATAATAATAAATATTATTAAATCACGTCAGCTCAGATAATAAACAACTAACTTAACAAATGTTAAAATAGATCACACTTGCTTTGTTAGTTTGTATGGTACCTTTAAATTTTGGAGAAAACTAACAACTTTCAATAGTAATTTGAGTTTGGGATACGTGCAGGCTCAGAGGTCTTTTGGGGTGTTCCTGGACATCACTAAAATTGAAATATATATAGGTGGTTATTTCGGTGGCTACTTCGGTTCACTCACTTTTTTGGGTGCACTAACTCTAAAAGTGTCCATAATACATCAAATTTTAAACTTTAATTAGTACTCTCAATCTAATATGATGATATGACATATAATCATAACAAATCAATCCATTACCCTAACCCCCTTAACCTTCAATTTTGAATCTCAATCCAAAATCCCAAATTGTAAACCTAAACCCTAACCCTAAATCCCTAAATCCTAAATCCTTCGAATTAAAGTTAATTTTGAATGAATTTTTTTCAAATTCATGTGCTTCTTATTCATAATATCATAAGCAACAATTGATACCATTTTGACATGAATCGCATGGTCTGAATGACAATTATGAGGCGGGTGCACTGAGTGCACCCGAAAAAGTGGGTGCACCGAATACGCCACCATATATATATATATATTCGCCCTCTAGGTATAGTTTGAGTTTGGGATAAGAAAAGGTAACGATCTTTTGTGAGTCGAACTCGTAAAATTGTTATTATTATAAAAATGTTAGGACTTTGCTACGGTGACATGCACTTTTCGGTCGACCTCATATAAGATTAGGTCGACCTAATCTGTTGTTTCAGTGTAGAAACAGTTCATGGTGCCTACTTTAGAGATTCATATCTTACAATTGGCTAGATAGAAATTGGAGATTAAAGGCTTGTTTTGAAGCTGAAGTGTCCCTCTACACATTAAAGTACTTGGGAGCTCAATACAAAGTCCAGAAGACCATTTTTGAACCTGACCAAAAGGTTATGCCAAAACTGGGAAACTGCCTGAAAATGGTTGTCTGGCAACTTGTTTGTCAAGCCTACTTTGGAGCTCAACTTGAGAAGCATGGATGCGAGTCAAGTCCAGGGGCCTCTACCACGTTAAATTACGTATTTTATTATACAAAGGCAAGGCATTGGATGAAAGATTGAATATCTTTAAAGCTTCAAACAAAAGGCTCGAAGTTGCTACGAAGGCTGTTTTTCTGGCAAACTTCGAGCACAAGCAAGCTGCAAGAAAAACAGCCTTCGTAGCAACTTCGAGCCTTTTGTTTGAAGCCTTACACATATCCAATCTTTCATCCAATGCCTTGAATTTGTATAAAAACATACCTAATTTAACGTGGTAGAGGCTCCTGGACTCGACTCGCATTCATGCTTCTCGAATTGAGCTCCAAAATAGGCTTCACATTTCCAGACTTAGCCATTTCCAGGCAGTTTCCCTGTTTTGGCATACCCTTTTGATGAGGTTCAAAAATGGTCTTCTGAACTTCCTATCGAGCTCTCTTCAACTTCAATATGTAGAGGGACACTCCAGCTTCAAAACAAGTCATTAGTCTTCAATTTCCATCTAGCCAATTGTATGATATGAATATCCAAAGTAGGCACCATGAACTGTTTTTACACTGAAAAAAAAATAGGTCGACTTGATCCTATATGAGGTCGACATAATTCTAAATGAGGTCGACCTAATCCTAACTGAGGTCGACCGGAAAGTGCAAGTCACTGTGACATGCATGTCACCGTAGGCACACCCAAAATGTTATCCCTTACACTATAAACCATTTGTTGTTAAATTTTTTCTAAATGAAACTATAATCTAAAACAAAGTCCAATTAAATTCTAAATTTCCCAATTTGCATCCGGACACTGAAAGCTAAACGACAATTCCCAACCTTTATAATATTGACGAAACTTCCATCACTATCTAGTTAAATTATTTTATAAGATTCTTAGTATGCAACTGCAAAAGTTGAACAACTGCTTTGATGAAAAGGTTGAACTATCCCCTGAAGAGGTGACTAAAAGGTTGTTAGCTTGTATGACTTGTCTTATCCAGAAGAATGAGTTTGCTGCTTTTGATAGGAAATGCTAATAAGCTTTACTCGATTTTATCCTAACGAGTTTGCTTCTTAAACTTGTATTGATTTTACTAGTAGGAACTGCAAGTGTTGAAAGAACTTTTTTTAGCTTGGGGTTACATCAAGAACAATCTTCAAATCAAATATGCAATCAACTCCTAACTTCGGCCGAAACTTCAAACGGACATAACTTTGCACTCGGCCACTCGGGTATCCGATCGTAGCGATTTCTTTTGAATCCGAATAATTTTTCGAGATCTTGCTAGCCGCAACTAGCCGTATGCGGTTTGGACCCGCCTTCGTCTCGAAAAAACGTCATTTGCTACCCCGAACGAGCCTTTTTTCCGAACGTCATGAATTTTTTTTTCATTCCGCATAACTTTTCAAGATCTACAACTTTTAACATAACCATAATTTCGAAATGTACATAGATTTGTGAAAAGTAAAGGTAAAGTTATTCCCATGGTCCGTATATCCAAAACTAATTCCTGTTTTGAAAATTTCATCCTAGTAAAACTTGTAGATCTTAAAGAGTTATGCGAAATGAAAAAAAAAATTCATGACGTTCGGATTTTGGAGCACAAAGTTATGGCCGCCCAAAGTTTGATGAAATCGAAAAAAGGCTCGTTCGGGGTAGCAAATGATGTTTTTTCGAGATGAAGGCGGGACCAAACTGCCTACGGCTGTTCGCAGCTTGCAAGAACTCGAAAAATTATTCGGATTAAAAAAAAATCGCTACGATCGGATACCTGAGTGCAATGTTACGTCCGTTTGAAGTTTCGGCCGAAGTTAGGAGTTGATCGGAAAAAAAAAATTGACCAAACCGCTGGGTGGGCTGGCGGTTTGCCCAAAACTGCCGCCCCACACAGCGGTTTTCATAGCCTTCCCGTAGCCCAGCGGTTTGCATCGAAAACCGCACACCACCCAGCGTTTTTCGTGTAAACAGTAGGGTGGCGTGGCGGTAGGGGTGGGAAACGGTGCGGTCCGGTCCAGACCAGACTATAGATACGGTCTGTGGTCCAGACCGAGAGGTTGGAACACAAACCATGGACCAGACCATTTACTATACGGTCCAGACCAGACCACACCTATGCGGTGCGGTCCGGTATGGTATGGTCTGGACCAGACAGACCATGTTAAAAAAAAATTAACTCTTGTTCGCCCTCCAACCCTTCACCGGTATCTATAAAAAAATCTAGTGACCAATATGCTAGTGAAACAAAAAAATTGTGATCGTATTAAATGTGAAGAAATATGAGGATAGAAGTGGGTTTTTTCAATTTTCAAATAGCCTTATTTCCCTATTCCTCTTTGTGCTACCGCTTCTCTCCTCTCTCGAGTGATCTGAAGGTTCTCCCAATTGATAACCTTTTTGATGACGTCGAGGTAATTTCGAACCACTAAGATGGTCGCATATCTCTCAATAATTTTCCTTATCTCATCAAGGTGAACGAATTTTTTTGTAGTGTTTAATTTTTATCGACTCCATAGTCTAGACATTATCTGTGAATATTATTTATGAGTCTTTCTAATTTTTGTGTGGTACTTTGATAAGGAGATAACATATAAGCGATCATTTTGCAATTTGCTGGCTCTCAACTAGATGAAAAATCAACTAACTTTGTTCTTCAAATACACATATGGAGGTTCAATTTAGTGTTATTTTTGTCCAAGGTAGTAGGTAGTGTGTCGCGGTCTGTTACGGTTTACTGCGGCAGACCGCGGTCCAGACCACTTCAGACCACGCACTAAAGGAGGAGACCGCAAACCAGACCAGACCATAGTTCTGTTCTCACGGTCCAGACCAAACCATACGATACGGTCTAGACCGCGGTTTCCCATACGGTTTGGTCTGGATTCCCAGCCTAGGTGGCGGTTTTTGAAAAAGGGTGGTATTTTTGGAATTTTTTGGGGTTGGGTGGTATTTTTGGAGTTTTTTGAGATTGGGTAATATTTTGGATTTTTTTTTAAATAGTGGTACTTTTGGATTTTTTCCAATCTACAGGTCCCTCCAATCATCTCACCCCACAAACGGAAGCAACACGTAGACATACTGATTTGGTGCTCCGGGCCAATCAAAATTCGCCACCTGTCCGTATGGAAGAATTAAATAGTTAATTTCTTAATCTATGCCTCGATTCTTAATTATCCTAGGTAAATCTCTTCAAATAATAATAGGAGACCTGGCAAAACTGAAGTGCGACAACCAACAACAGCTCCAACAGAAAACACTACCCCAAGGATAACATCTCTCGCAAGGAACGACAACAAGACCTCAGCTAATGATCAGCACCCCGCCATAACAACACGCAACTAGTTCTCAACCTGAACTTTCTCAAATTTTCCGTGAGCCACCAACCATTCCATCGAGTTCCTTACAGCTCTTCTAGCTACAATATTGGCGGACATAGTCTTCTCTTCAAATACCCGTTGATTCCTTTCCAGCCAAATGAATCACCAAACAACAGGCAATATACAATCTCTAAACCACTCTTCAACGCTGTCCGGCTTGGAACGAGATGAGTGTTTAATGATCGATGTAATCTCTCTATCTTGAAAGGACGAAACATGTGTGTATTCACAGAGAGCTTCAATTTCCTACATCCGATTGCTCTTCCCCTTTTGATGCGGGCATAATCACAGAGTTGACAGGAAATTGAGA